GAAGTACTTAACAATACCTAACCTGAAGGGTAAATTTCATAAACAAAAAAAAAAAAGGTAATAAAGAGAATTAAATTAGAAATTGAAATGACAACACATAATCTGAAGGATAATTCAATACTGTTGCAGGACCGCGTTGTTGTGGTGATTCACTCCAACAAGGAGTTGGTAAGGTTTGTTATTACGACAACACAACACACTTATCAAACCTGAGTAGTCCCTGAACTCTTGGGGGAACCTTTACGGATGGGATTAATATCTGCCAGTGTTTCCGATGGCCTGGAACTGGATTAGGATCGCGACAAGAAGCAACTGACCCTGGGCACTGAAGATCGCGGTAACTAGGGGTCACTAAAGCTTCCAATGGTCCAGAGGAGGCTGAAGACTGGAGGTACTACTTGAAACACACAGTACGCTCAACGTTTAACTCTTTACTCAAGTTAAGGACTAAGAGTAACGAATAAAAGGTGACGATTAAACGTAACGTCTAAGACTGAAGATTAAAGGTGATGAATAGAGGCCTGAAACAAATGGACGTTATGAGACAGGGTAGTAGAGCAATAGGTAGGTATGTCCAATATTCGGAATTCAACTATATTATTAACAGAAAATTATGCTTTTACACAGGCAATAGAGAAACACAGAGAAGACTAATAAGAAAAACCACTTACCAAAATCACTTTTGGCCTTTAGGAACAAACAATTGACCACGTTGCTATTTTTCGACTCACAAAAAAAATCTGCACAAGGCGATTGGGTGCTAAAATAGCGGATTAGCCACCCTAGATCTATGAGCGAAACTTGGCAACTCAGAAATCGGCAAAATGTGCCTGAGGAGTTTTTCCGAACACTTAATCGTGGAAAGTCCTCGACCTGAATGACCTCTACATGTCCCTGCAATGTCTTTTAAAAAAGGTTCTGTCAAAACTCCAAGGTGGAAGGTACTGGGGATTTTGATGGTAGTTGGGGCATGGTACTTATTGAAATTAAGTTAGTACCAGTCATTGACTCTATTTGGAGCGCTGTCAATCTAGTTAATCTACTCCGATCAGACAATCAGCTGTTCTAGTGTAAATATTGTGATTTTGTTTTATTAATAAATTAATTGTCTATTTATTTTAACCCTACTAACAGAAAATCAATTCCATTAATAAACCTATAACTTAATGATTCTGGGAAAAATTAAAAGTTTGATGAAAACTTTGGCCACAACTATTGAAAAGACAACAGTGGCTTGACGAAGGTATGCTATTCATTGAGGCGAATATGCTTATTTCCTTTCATTTTAACCCAGGAAAAATCATCCCGTAACAATATTTCTCTATGGATAAAAGTCAAAATGACATTATGTTGGCAATACAATGTAAAATTGTCAATGCTTTCAAATTTTTTATGTAGAAGAGGCTTGTGTTGCCGAAATAGTTACTAAATTTTTGACTTGGGGAATTATCTTTAAAAAAAAAACTGACTTTATTAACCATAGAATGTATTAACTTTTAATAACAATTTGAGGTATTTTTTTAATAAAATTATTGTTTTTCGCTAAAAAAAAAAAAATCAATTTTTTTTAACTGATGGCGCCATCTATTGACAATGTATTATAATGAGAAAAGTAAAAATTCTTCCTTATCATTCATCATTTCCATAATAATTATTCTTTGTCTCAAACTTTAGGTAACTTTTAAACAATTCGGAGTCTTTCTTATAGTTATCAAAATAATCGTTTTATGCAAAATTACCATTTAAAATGTTTAATATCTTAACTGGTGCTGCCATCTATCAACATTGTATAATATTAAAAATGAGTATTATAATGAAAATCTGTATCGTAATGAAGTTCATTATGATACAGATTTTAATCGTTTAATAGCGTATTATGAAATAACAGTAGAAAAATAGCTATTTATACAACAAGTTACGAAATGAGTGTCTTTTAGGCACGCGACGTGAAAATTGTCCAACGAGGCGTAGCCGAGTTGGACAACACGTCGAGTGACTAAAAGACATCGTTTCGTTACGTGTTGTATACAAGATTTTTTCTACTGGCGTTTCATACTGAAAAAAAACATAATTTTATTCCTCGTAAATAGGAGCCGATCACGCCAAAAAAGTTTGGCACCTGCTTTTGATTGACATCTTTCATGAGGTTTTTTTGATTGAAAATTGAAATCCTATTGAAAAAAACAACAGAAAGTTCTGTTTTGAGTAACCCAAACGTTTACTTTAGTAGTTCAAATAATTGCATTTACAACATTTATGAAAAAATAGACAAAATTCAAATCTGTGTTTTTTATTTCTGAACAATGAGTGACACTTTTAGGCACTAGTGCTTAAAAGTGTCACTTTTACGCACTAGTGCTTAAAAGAATGCCATTTAAAAACTAAAATGACAATCGAAAAGTCGCTATTATGAAACGTCAGTAGAAAAAGTTATTATAACTCATTTTATAAAAATGTTTTTGAATTTTAATAAGTTTCGATAAGTCTAAATAAAAAATTTTGTTTTTTTGCGTTTATTTTTCGATTTTTATTTATTCCTATCTGCTAGATTGGTAATATTTCACTGTTAGTAAATAAACTAAATATTGATAAATAAATTTGGGCTGCTTCTAATTATTTTCCTTACCGTATGTACAAAAGAAAATTATATCACAAACAGATTGAAAGTGAAAATGTTATATCCAGTAAATCTTCAAAAGTGTCCTTTTGTGAAAAATCATCAACAAAAGTGTCTTAATTCAAAATATTTTTTTATCAAATATATATCAGGAAACATCAAAAGTGGCATAACTCAAAAAATTTAATTTTTCGGAATTTCAAGGACACTTTCTAATTATAATCAATGACAGGATGCTTCTGAATGACTATGTAATTCATAAAAAACCTTATTTTACCTTAATCTATTTTAATAAGTTTTAGAACAGTTTTTCTCAATTTCTGGAAAACTATCTTTTTTGAGTTGTATCACTTTTGAAGCAAGGGTGCAAATTATGAGCAAGGCAATGGCAGCACAAGAGGCTCTATGGTTAAGAGGTCCCATAGATTTTGATTACACTGAAGAACCAACATTTTTATAATATGTGGATAACCATTAACCAAGGAGCACAAAAATTGGCACTAAATGAGGGTTATTTATCCAGAACGAAGCATATAGATGTTCGTCATAATTTTTTGAAGGAAAAAATAATTAATGGAATCCTCAAATTAGAATATGTGCCAACTCAGAAGATGTTAGCTGATTCTTACAGAAGCATTGGACAGAGTAAAATTTATTAATTGTGTCAGAAACCAAGGACTTATTTCAAATAGGGAGGGTGTGGAAAATAATGTGAAGTTGAGTTTCTTTGCTATTAGTTGGGGCTTAATTAATTTCTAAACCTTCATTTCCGTTAAATTACAACACGGGCGTGCAAAAATGCGTAAATGGGACCCAGATGTAAATTTAACGGAAGATAACCAAGGATTAACTAATACTGTAGAGAAAATCTACAGAGAACTAATTCTATCCAAAGACGAATCATAACTTTGTTAACATAGTTGATGAAAACATGATAAATGTTGCCTGAAAAATTGCCTGACATTACCACTCCTTGCCTCAGATGAAACAGAGAAATTTCTCGGAATAACATTTAAAATGAAGTTACAAAATGCAGGTCTAGAACACTTAAACTCCTTAAAAACGGACAATTTTTCTATGTTCAAATTTGCATTGGAGCAATTATTAGAACATAATGAAGAAAAACAAATATGGATGAGTTCATTTTTTTGATAAACAATATATTATTTAAATATACAGGGTGTCCTAAAAAGATACCGACAAACTTTAAAGGATAGTAAGGGACATCAAAACAAAAAACAAGCATTTTTGTTTATATAAACATATGTCCGCAAATGAGCCATTTGGGCTGTAGAGTAAAAAAATTGTTTGGTACTTTTATTCTTCGCAATAATTAAATCACTGTTTACTTATTAATTTTGCTTATTTATTAACAGATAAATTATGGCTTACAATAATTGTTAAAAATGTTGACCATTTACTTCAATGCAAAGATAGCACCGTCAGGTCATTAATAGACAACTACTAAGTTAATTAAGGAAACTAATCAACAATTAGGTAGGAATTTTCGAAATGTCAGTAAAAAACCAGTAAAAAACTTCAAAAAAACACTTTCCATAAACATTAAATATTCTAAATATTTACCAAGGTGGTATGCTGATTTTGCCATAAAATAGAAATCTATTAAAGTAAACAAAATAAATGAACAAAATAATAATAATTGTGAAAAATCACTAGTCACTAATGCCTTATATCCTCTCGCTTCTCAACCTTTGACACAGATCAATAAATAATATCTATTCTTATCAGCTTAATATCGCTATACCTATCAAAGATGCACAATCAACAAAGAAAAAAATTAAATTAAAAAAATCATAACTTGATAAATATTCAAGGATCCATATTTTTTTTCTCGCTAACCATCTTGAAATTGCTTTGTTTATCAGTAATAATCAAAATCATATTGAAAATCAAAGGGACCTAAAGTGATCTATCACCCAAAATCCATTAAAATGATGATGCTCTGAAACATAGCAAAATAATGACAAGCCTCTTGCCACTTCCCTACAAACAAACTGCTTTGCAAGATATATTTGAACTGAAATTAAGATCAGAAAATGTCAGGAATCGTCTGGATTGCAGATGCTAAAAATAACATCAAAGGTAACATATGTGCCGCCAGTCTCTTTTCCGTGTTCGGAAAAACAAGATACTCGGCTATGTTTGATAACGAGTGGTATTACCAACACGAGTGGTAGTGAGCGTTACCGTAAGTGTGATACAACATTTCATCTACAACTTAAACAGGTTAAAATGGGTTACGTAATAAGCTCCTATAGTGTGGGTCGTATAGGTATGAAACTAATTTATGTGAGTCCATTTCTAATAATAAGTATTAGTTTAGTGTTAGTTAACTTTGTATTTAATTAGGACAATACTTTACGTAGTTTTCGATTCTTCCGTATTGCTTCTAACCAATCGCCGTTTGGGCACTCGTTCGTCACTGTCTGGAGAACTGGGATTGGTGCCTCTCTTTTCCTGGTGCGTCTTTGTGGTACTCGTTCCGTTAGTACCTAACGTCAGCGCGGTGGCCATCGAACCTCTGCGCGCAGGAAAACTCGCCGAAAAACTTCGTACCGCGTGTATGCTCGATTGTTGAAAGGAAACTGGAACAAAAAATGGTTTTTATTGTCACATATACATATAAGCGAGTAAATTATAATTGTCTTTGTACTTAATACACTATGCCAATGTCAATCGTTCCATGAATTTTGAAATTAGAAAAAAAATCACTAAACATGATGAAGGTACGATAGCGCTGTTTCCATAGCCTACTGAGATCCTAATTGAGGCGGAATGAGATATCTAGTGGTAATAAAATTGAACAAGAAAATATATAAATTTAATCAGCAATTTACATTACGTTACCAAGTGACTTATCTATGTACTCGCATATAGGTACCTCAATCTTCACGGATGTGTATCGTGCAATATTTTGTTTCATCCTGCTATACCTATTCTATCGGGTCTTCAAAAAAAAAACCAATCAACAATTGCTTTGGTTACGAAAACGTACGTCGCATTATTGTTTGTTTATTGGTCAGGATTTTTGACATGACATTTTGACATTAAATTTCATTGAATGACATTGTCAAAATTAAAGAAAAATATTTCTAAGACGTACGTTCAAAAAACCATAGCAATCTTTGATTGTTTTTTTTTTTGAAGACCCGATATAATGCTATATGAACTTTCCTGACTACACTCCATCATATCTTTAATGGGGAAAATAATGTATCGTTCTTTACCTTGCACAAATAATAGCTAATTCATTAACCAATCAAAATGCTTACATAACTCTTTCACTTAAACGCAATTGGTTGACGCGACACCGAATCGACACTGACTAAACCAAATGTAGTGTACGCAAAACTGTCATTTTATTCATTTAAAGTGGCAGTCGATAATAATTTATGGGGACGAAGGGCGAGGTCGCCAGGTTCGTGATCTCCCGAATATATCTACAACAAAATCCCATTTAGTTTTATCGGCATTTTATTGTCATATATTCGGTGGAATATTTCAAATGGGCCAATTTTCCATTGATGGCAATATTTTGCGATTGTTTGATTTTTTTTTGTTGGGTATTTGATGGTTTCAAGTTTGATTGGTAGATTTCGATGTAGAACGCGATGGGTTTGATTTGGCTGATAGGTTTTTGAAAATATCCAGGATGTATTCAAATGCTAGAATACGCAAATACATTGTATTACAATAAAACAATTAACAGATATTAAAAAAATAAAGACTGATTAGTATTATGATACTTGCAGACAAAATATGAATAGGTACCTAAAACTGTAAATTTTTTAGAAAACTCTACTATAAGGAAATTATTGAAATAATGGATGCACGTCATCAAAATTTATGACGTGAGCATGTCGCAATGTTACCGCATCAACTTCGTTTCACTGTGACATACCATTTCTAGTAAAGTTGGTCATTTTCCCAGGTTACATTTTTATTAATAAATTGATAAGAATCACTAATACCAAAAAAACGAAAATCCATTAACAATTTTATAGCAAGTACTTAAATTATAACCAGAAACTATAACGGAGCGAGGTTTTCCACATTTGAGCAGAATAAGAGTTCTGTAATGACTCGGGAAAAGCAGACCCGTAATTTACAAGGACTTAAAATACAAAAACAGTAAATTTAAATGTAATCAAATCATGCAAATTGAATCTCCAATATTTAGAGAGAAGTTCTAATTGGTCAATTGGTGCTACCATACTTGGTACATACCCAGTACAGTTTTCTTGACAGCCTTTCAAGGGACTTCTTAAGGAGATGGAAATTGAACACCGACTTCCACCGCCATATACTCCGCAAGCTAACCCGGTATAGAACGTACTAATAAGACTACCAAAACAATGGTAGCTCAATTTTGTAGAAATGATTACAGAAAATGGCACGTTTGTCTTCCGGATTAGGTCTTCGCGATCAACAACTTACGACATGATTCTATCGGATTTTCGCCAGCCTTCGTCAATTTTCGCCGAGAGTTCGAACAGCCTGGTGCCATATATCAGAACCCCACAAGGCTTCAAAAACTCAACGAAGTTTATAAATTGGTTCGAGTAAACTTAGGGAGAGCGTTCTCGAATCAAAGTCGCCATTACAATTTTTGGCGATGCGAATGGCGGTGCCATGTAGGGTAGGAGACAGGGTACTGAAGAAGAATATTCCGCTCTCCTCAACCGTCAAGGGTTTTGCCGCAAAACTCGCACCGAAATATTCCGGTCCATTCACCGTAACCAAAGTGTTTTCTCCGGTCGTGTACGATTTAAAAGACGATGCTTGTAAAAGACTCCGCCGCATTTATGTGAAAGACCTTGAGCCGATAAATTTATCATTTACGTAACATGTTCCATCTCTTCTTATTTTCATTATAAAGTTGTATTTTTTTCATTTCAAAATTCAAAATAATTCCTAATCTAAAATATCCACAAAGTTCAAAATAATGCCGGTGCTGCCATCTATCCATCATGTGCGTAAAATGCAAATATCTAGAATTCATTTACCAGTGCTGCCATCTAGTACCGGATGAGTTTTTTTTTTCTAAATTGTGATAGTTTTCCTTGGCTATTTTTATTTGACATTCATTTGTATTTTCATTCAAAGAAATTATATTTATCTCACTTTTAGCAAATTGATATATTTCTGTCTTTCTCTAACTTCTAATTCTGAAATAATTATTTTTGGCTTAATGACAAGTTTTTTATTTTTTTGACATAACCTTAATTTAAATTATTATAATTTGTAAACAAATAAAATAATTCTAGTGGATTTTTATCTATTCTCTTTTATTTCAGGCGGTTTTTCATTGTAAAGTGAATATGATCTTTTGGGTGTACTCGTCTGATTGGTTAAACTGATTAAAATGCAGTTAAGTAATTATAAAAAAAACACCGGATCGTTTTCCTGTGGGGTTTGGTTTCTAAAACATTCTCTTATTTCTCGACAGAAGTCTGGCAAGCAGGTCCTTTTTATTTTTAATAATTTTTGCTTTATATTTTTGAATTCTTCCTCATAGATTTTCCAATATATTTTGCTATCAATGTATATTATCATATCATTGGTAAGTTTTTACCTAATAAATCTTATCTTATCTGTTCTTGAAATATAAATATTATATTTTAATTTTTTATCTAATTTTGGGCTTCCATTTTGTGTGAGTGCTGATTGGTTGTCCCACGTTTTTCTGAGGTAAGTCAATTCAGACTTTTGGACTAATAAATGTGCCGCATCATCCAATTTCACCACTTTCGCTTCAGTTTCGGTCAAGTGACCGCAACTTTAGAATTTCAAATGTTACTTATGATATATTATGGCATTTTTCGTTAGAAAATTAAACTACAAAATTGGCAATGCCCATATCTGTTGAGACTTTTTTAAAGAAAATGGTGAAAAAATTACACGTGCGGAACATACGATGACGCGTCCCGAAATGATCACCTGAGAAAAACCTCGTGGGACACCCTGTATAAAGTATGTGCTTGTAGAAAAAAATCTTGATCTTAACTCTTGCGGAAAGTATAAGTTTCCACACCAAAAATTCTGAAAAAAAGAGTATTCCAGGTGATTTAACTGATTTTCCAGGTCCCAGCCCTATTATCCTGTAACATTAAGAGTATTCTTTCGATCTGAACAAATTGATCGAAGTCATTTCAGGTTTCTTTCAAACAATTTTCATTCGATTTTACAATGATTTCATTTTGGACGCCTCATGAACAAACCTTATGTGATCACAATCAGTTTGTTCAGATCGAAAGAATACCAGGATTATCTGATGCATGCTTGCAAAATGAAGTAAGACAAGTAGGACAACCGCTAGGTGTCTCTACAACCGTTCATGCCGCTGTGTTTGAAAAGGTTGAATTGTTCGGCTGAAACTTTGCGAAAGATGACGCGAAAGACTAGGGCATTTAATATTTTTTGTTTGCCCACGGGCCCTTGACCAGCATAAGCCTAAACGCCTCAACGCCCCAACCTGCGTTTTTTAAAAGTAGGGCACCTGCGGGGCCCTACTGGACCGCGGGGCCCGGCGTTCCAGCCCCTTTAGCCCCCCCTTAATCCAGGCATGACTACATAACATTGTAAACAAAATAAAATAATTGTTTGTTGGGGTTTGAGTGGTTTCATTTGCACATAAAGGGACTACACGTTATCACAATTTTTTTGAACTCCACGACACTAGGTCTTAAAACTCTTAAAGTTCAAATAATCAATTAATTTGTAATAAATTGGCGCCCAACGTGGGGCCAATTTGTTACAAATTGCCATGACGTGTAAAAGTAATTTTCCAGACTCGCCTCAACAAGATCAAACAGGCTGTGAAACAATACGGCCAGCGTTTCGATACTCCCGCCACGTTCAGCCATATATCTGCTATAACCGAGACAACCATTTCCGCACCCCTTATCACAGCACCGAAACGGCCACTACCAACATTGCAATCGATACATATGGGAAGAAACGACCCAATAACCGAAACCCCAACGTACGCACACCGTGTCGTCCACTACCAGTTCAACGTACCACTCTTGGAGCCACGGCCGACACAGCAACACAGACGTCACCCTGTTCCATACTGCGGGGTCGGAGATGGGACGCCGCTGTCATCCGCTCCTCCAAGTCCTCCGTCCCGATAGCGACCACCACCTACTCCAGCGCACTGGTATCCGTACCAACTAGTAGGGAAATGACTGCCTCCAGTTATCATTATGGATGCTCGCGGATGCCTCCATCCTACTGTAGAACTTACGACCAGTAGGGCAGTAACAGGTTCCCAAATTTTTATAATGGATACTCGCGGATGCATCCATCCCACCGTGGAACCAGCTACACAGGATGTTAATCGGGGTGGGTTTCGACTGAGAGCACCGTCACCAGGGCCGGCAGTCTAACGCTGATCTCCTAGCACTGCTGAAGAATCCGGGAGACAAACTTACCTGGCCACCTGCTCCATACCATACCGGGAAAAGTTTATACCTTTTTTTTTATCCGTCTTTTCAAAACGGTCCCACCCCCTCACACGTTTCTGCTGTTTTCGCACCGTTTCCGGAACGCGAGTAAGAAACAATTCGAGAATGGTCGCTAG